GCTCCGAGCAGGGTGCTTGTGCTCACTTGTTGAGGCACTCCTGCGTCACGGTCTTCTTGTCGTTGTTGTGCGGACAGAGGCGGATCACGAAGTTTCCCTTGTGGTTGGCCGTCAACTCCACTTCTATGTCAATGATCTGAAACAGTGCAGCGCGTGTTAACATTTCGGTGTGCCTGCGTGAAGTCTCACGATTAACCGCGTCTTCTTTCCCCTAAAAAATCTCGCCAACGACCGCAAGATCTGCCGGGAAGTGCTCACGTGCGCATTGGATGTACAAATATGGCTTCGGGACCGAACTTCAAAAGCACGTCCCGAATTTCAAGAAGCTTGCATTTGAGAGAAGCCATTTGCAACAACACGAGACAATTAAATGAGTTTGCAGTGTGAAGTAATCGAACCAAACCCGCCAAAATTAATTCAATGTACAGCCCCGATGACTACAAATCGCTAACGCCGCGATTTGATGCCGAGCGTCACGTGACCGATGCGATCCACTGAGCAAAGGTCCGTCACGCAAGGCCACCGGTGTCGTCAGGGCAATGTTAATGGGAGAGTTCTACTGCGATCGTCCTGGTTCGCGATCCCATGTGCTCTCACAGCGTTTGATTTTTAGTGATCCAAGACTTTTGGGAACATTGCCTTCCGAAGCGAATGCATTCATCGTTTGTAGCCTCCATGCGAAGACTCCTTAAAATAAAAGTCGCTGTTTGTTAAATCCTTTTTATTTTCGTATAGAGGTAACGTTACGTACAAACCCAAGTGGGCCAAGATAGTCGCTTTATATCTGTCCGCTTGACCTTGTCTTTGCGTAATATGCGATTGAACTTTGCCTTCTAGCGTTCCCACTGCCTAATACTGATCCGCACACGTCGGCGATGTAAGTCATCCCGCTACTAGCACCTCGTGTGACGTTTACGTTATCATATATGATATGATATGCCTCTGCGATTAACGGATTAGTCCGAGCAACCAACACACGCTAGCCACCCGAGCTACGGGAACCCCCCCCCCCCTCGCGTAGTGAAAAGAGCCCACCATCTGTCAAAGCGCCGACCAGCCCGCGCTCTGCGACATGTAATGTAAATATTAGCACCATAGGCTCCACTACGCCCGCTCCAGCGAATTTCCAGGCTCCGGGACAAGTTTGTAGGCGGATCGCCGCGCCATGGGCTGCACTCCCGCCCTCCGGGACCCAGCCGCAGGCGCTGCCGGCTTCCTGCCGCTTCCTGCCTGCGCCGCAAGAACGCGCTGTTGAGCTGGGTTTGCGGTGCACCGGCCTCGCGCCGCGCCGTAAGCGCAGGCACCTCCACACGGTCGGTCTGAGGCCGGCCGTCGGCTCAGAGGACGACCATGATACGCTCCAGCGGCCTCCTGGTGAGGTCGGGAACCGTGCAGTCGTCTGCCGGCCGGCCGACGGGCAGCAGCAGCACCAGCTTCTCGTTGGCGGGCCGCTCCAGCAGCTGGCGCAGACGGGGGCCGCAGTTGAGCGGCGTGCTCGTGAGTGTGGCTAGGCCGGCCTGGTGCAGCGCTGCCAGCAGCACGCCGCACGCCAGGTTGCAGCTGATCTCATTGTAGTAGGTGGTGAAGCGCTGGCCCTGCTCGTCCACGCCGTACGCGTGCCTGAATACGAGGATCAGGAACGGCGCGTCCGTCAAATACTCCTTCAGCCAGGTGGTGCCCAGCGGCGCCAGGTCATCCACCCACTTCTGGCCCATCCGCTTGCGGTAGTTGACCTCCTCCTCATCCTCGACTATCCGACGCACGGCCGCCTTCACCTCGGGCGACTCGACCAGCACGAAGGTCCAGGGCTCTGTGTGCGCGCCGCTGGGGGCCGTGCCGGCGGCGCGGATGGCGCTCTCCACGGCCTGACGCGGCACCGGCGCCCTGCTGAAGGCGCGCACCGAACGGCGACCGTTCATCTGCTTGTAGAACTGCTCCGAGCGGCGCACCATCTCCTCCGGCGAGATCGACTCCATGCTGAATGGCACCCGCGGCAACAGCACGTCCGGCGGCGGCGTCAAATCGTCGTCCTCAGGGGCCACTTCGTCGCGCCAGGGAGTGGCGGCGGTGGCGGCGGTGGTGATGGTGGCAGCGGCGGCGGCGGCGGCGACGGCGGCGGGAGGGGCGGGGACGGGGATGGAGGCGGTGCGACATCGTTCCAGCAGCAAGTGGAGAACGGCGGCGGCCAGCAGTGCCATCAGCACCAGCTGCCAGTTCGCCGCCAGAAACGGAAGGTACGTCTGCAGCACGCCGGCCATGGTTTGGGGATGGCCGCGGCGGTGGCGCTCTAGCGTCTGACTACGTCCTGGTGCAGTTCGATGGGACGGCTCTCGGCCCAGCGCTGGCCGAGCTGGGTCCAGATGCTCTCTCCTGGGGTCGGCTCAGAGGCGCTTCCCGTCACACACGTTCAAATGCGTGTTTGGCGAGCTGGCGCGCGGTCCGGATCAGCCAGGTACCGGCGGAGACGGGGCGCCCAGGATTCCGGCACGAGCCCACCGACACGCCACCTGCCCAACGCCCGCAGATGGTCCCGACTGCCCTCTCACACAGACGGCGCCTGTTCGCTCTCAATTACGCCAACAGCCTCTAACCGATGCCTCGGGAGCCCCGCCAGGGAAAGTGGCACAGATTGCGCGCGCAGCCCGGCCAGGCCCGGATCGAGGGAGACGAGAAGTGGGGCCAGCGGCCTATCACCCAACGCCACGCGCAGAGGCGGGTCCAGACGTCCGGAGGAGGATTGGATGACTTTCATTTGAGTTGTTGGATGAGGACGCTTCGTGGGCTCCGAAGAAAACTGCTCGTTTTTTTTGGTTTCCATTCGGTCCACCCAGTCGATTATGAGTTGGCCTACATACGGGTTCATCCAGTGCCTCTTTCTGGATCAATAGTGAGTCCGTACCTACTGTCAATGGCTTCTCTTCATGCCATGTTGACCACGCTAATGCTGTGGTTCGAACGGAGAGGTCACATGTAAGCTACCTCCTGCGCTACTGCTTTGATTTGCCCTTGCATCTTTGAGCATCTGGGCTGTGTTGTGTCTGTTGCCCTCCAACCGAATGACAGCGCCCCTCGCCATCCCAGCGCGATGAAGGGGTTATGTATCCGGGGCCAGACGGATTGTTTATGCTCCGGCAAAGCACATGACCCTGAATCGCCAGCTGCATCATTCACTGAGGTGATTCAGGACGCTCTATCTCTGGCCCCAGCACGTGCATTCGGTATGTTATATTATTGGTAGCAGCTAGCTACTGATGGCAACTGGCATTCTACAGGGGGGGGGGGGGGGGGGGGGGGGCATAATAACTGAACTGTTCCACGGAGTAAGGTCTGGTGGCTGACCTGTCTCGGGGAATTGGGTACCTGTCTCGGGGAATTAGTGTCTGGTGACTGACCTGTCCCAGGGAATTAGTGTCTGGTGACAGACCTGTCCCGGGGAATTAGTGTCTGGCGACTGACCTGTACCGGGGAATTGGCGTCTGGTGAGTGACCTGTCCCGGGGAATTAGCGTGTGATGACTGACTTGTCCCGGGGAATTGTCGTGTGGTGACTGACTTGTCAGGGGAATTAGCGTGTGATGACTGACTTGTCCTAGGGATTAGCATGTGATGACAGACCTGTCCGGGGGAATTAGCGTGTGATGACTGACTTGTCCTAGGGATTAGCATGTGATGACAGACCTGTCCGAATAGCGGTGATGACTTGTCCTAGGGATTAGCATGTGATGACAGACCTGTCCGGGGGAATTAGCGTGTGATGACTGACTTGTCCTAGGGATTAGCATGTGGTGACAGACCTGTCCCGGGAATTAGCGTGTGGTAACTGACTTGTCAGGGGAATTAGCGTCTGATGACTGGCCTGTGCCGGAGAATTGGCGTGTGATGACTAACCTGTCCCGGGAATCAGCGTCTGGCGACTGACCTGTCCCGGGGCGTAACGTTTGGTGATGACGCCCTTGGCGAACTCTCCACCAGCCTCGTGTGGTCTCGGCTCCGACTGCGCGTAGTTGTCGCCACAGACGCCGCACTTGCCCCCGTTCTGCTCGTACTGGACTGTGGCACAGCCGCGCAAACACAGGCGTCAGCTGCACGCTCCAGCGTCGCGGTAAAGGGCCACTTACACTGGCACAACAACGGCGAGTTCTTCTTGGGTGATGCTTCACTGGTGAGGTGCAGTTTTTACACAAAAATGACTGAGTTCTCTTGGCATCCAGTTGGTTGGCAATACGACAATGTATAATATGTTTTGTCAGAGCGGACAGTTGGTCTTTTCACCTCGACATTACGCGCAGGTAGTGTTACACGAACCAACTGCGTTAAAAATGTGCATCGCATGCGCTTTGGCACGTGCAATATTAGGCCCCATTTTGAGATGTCCGTGTGGTGAGGTGTTCTCCATGACTTGCTGCCAACACTGACCGACGAAGCCGCCGCAGTACAGCTCGTTGTCGTTGTAGTTCACGCTGCCCGGGAAGCCAAACCGCCAGAGCGAGTTCCTGGCCGGGGGGTCCATCAGACGGCCGTGACCACTCGCCTCCCGCACCTGGTCAGAGACACAGAAGACGAGGTCAGATAACGCTGGCACCAAAGGAGACCTTAGCGGCGGCTGGGTGCTCGTCCCCCACCTGGTCAGAGACACAGAAGACGAGGTCAGATAACGCTGGCACCAAAGGAGACCTTAGCGGCGGCTGGGTGCTCGTCCCCCGCACCTGGTCAGAGACACAGAAGACGAGGTCAGATAACGCTGGCACCAAAGGAGACCTTGGCGGCGGCTGGGTGCTCGTCCCCCGCACCTGGTCAGGGGCAGAGGAAGCGGGGCTAGGTCACATCGGCACCAAAGGAGACCTTAGTGCCGGCTGGGCGCTCGTTTACCGCACCTGGTCAGAGACAGAGGAGACTGGATCAGGTCACACCGGCACCGGAGGACAACTTAACAGCAGCTGGTCGCTCACCTGCCTCACCTGGTCAGGGACAGAGGAGGCGGGGTCAGGTCACATCGGCACCGGAAGAGAACAGAATGTGGGCTGGGCGGGGCACCTGCACCCGCCGAGTGGAGCAAGGGTGTGGCGTAAGCAGAGCGGCCATGGAATGCCGTGGAAAGAAGGGCGGGACACATAGCGCATGTGTGGCGGAGTAAAAGGCAAACAGCCGGTGAATAGCGCAGCGGGTCGCCGCGTGAGTTTTGTGTGCGGCCATTGGGTTGTATGAAGTGGTGTGGTGAGGGCACACAAAGGTTTGTTTATTTGTTCCACAAGCCCGTCGATTGAGCGGGGCGTCGCGAAGACGATGCGGGGGGTGCGGATGTGTGGGCGGAGGTATGCACCTGGGACCCGATGTGGGTTTCAGAGAGGGGAGCAGGAGAAGCCGTGTGAATATTAAGCCCGGCGCGGTTGTGCGTTTGAATACAATTCGGAAAGCCCGGCGTGTCTGCAGAAGAACGGATCTGAACAACTGGTGACGGGTGCTGGCCGGCGGTGCCGAGCCGAGACTGAACACCAACTGCACAGGGAGCTGTGGTGGAGGTTTTGATGTGCTTGATGCCGACAGGCTAGTGAAGCTAACGTCAGCTTAAGCAGCGTTGGCGTCTTGGTGACACTGACACAGAATAGCACGCGTAGCATAGGCAGAGATAGAACGAGGTGCGCTTTCGCTGAGCCAAGGAGCAGTGAGATGCACAACAACGCTGGGGAAAGGTGAGGCTCCGAAAGCTGGAGCCACTTAAAGGGAGTGGACGCAGACATGCTGTCATCACTACGCGTGCGAGCTTATTGGCTATGGTGAGACACAGCGTGGGCAGAGGTAAACGCACATCCTACGGGTCCGGACGGATAATCATAACTTTTACAGCGTAACTGACATCCCTCGCTCTCAAACCCTGAATCACTGATCGCACTGTTTTGATCACGCTCATGACCAGCTTTCCGGTCGCCGAGGAGATAGGTGTAGCGAGAGCCGGATCTAAACACACCCCAAGCTCATCGTTTGTGTTGCGTGTACCATGCATCCATTCTGTCTTGGTGCGGGGACGGGGATTTTCAAGCACGGAAACGGTCGGGGCACTCTCGAGCTGTCGGACTGTCACTGTCGAGACAGCCTCGGCATGCCAGACTGTCGCTGCCGAGACAGTCCCTCAGGCAGTCGGCACACTGCCGAAGTAGGAGGACAAGCTTGGCCGGTAAGGGCCCGGGTCTTTGTTGGAAGCAGATCTTAACACGTCTGTAAGAATACCGTGTCTGACTCCAGCATAAGCAGTGGTGGCTGGTTATTATTAGCCTGTACCCATTGCGACCCAACGGTGCGCAAGATTATTGTACAGCCCGCCGTTTTTGTTACTCTGACCTTCAGTGCTTGGTCATTCTCGACCCGAGAACAACTAGTGACGTCACAGACATGCCGCTCGGCGATATCTGCTCGTCCGATCGCCGCACGTGCGTCGCGATCAAACCAGCCCTGGACGTGCGGTTGAACCTACAGTTGCGCAATCGCTGAATGCAGCCTGTCCGCGAAACATTGTGGGTTGCGACACGCACCAATTCACGCTTTCGCGCATTGTGGACATGCCAGCGATAGGTGTTTGATGTTAGATATTTATCACTGGTACCGTCATTCGATGTGGGATGCTTTGTCCGACTGAGCTTTCCTGTTGCAAGCGCAAGCTGTTGGGACGATTGCAAACAGCTATCAATGCAACATACGCAAAGTTTGGTAAATTAGGATGAAACTGCATGCAAATTATTCACTAGATTTGGAGCTCGTACAGGAGAAGGAATGGGACATTCAAGAGCATACTGACTACAAAACTTTCGTCCCCACTATTCTAGTGAGTGTTGCCAGGTAGCTATGGTTGCAAACACTGCTCAGATGAATGATTCGATCGTTCATGCTTTTTTAGATCATGCTTCGCTAAAAAACAAAAAAAACTCCTTCAAACACGATCGTTCGGTTATGTTTTAGCTGTTTGAAATGCCATACACATGTTAGTTCTTCTTGCGTGAGTTTTAGTGACAGGTTTTTGTGTGGTTAGGTGGACGGCTGAAACATTTCTCCAGCGACGATCTTGGCCCGTGCAGCGAGGCTGATGACGCTGCTGCGCATGGCGTGTCTTGCACATAATAAAGCCTCGCTCGCTATGCCCTCATATGCATGCGCTCAGCGCCTCACTCGACCGCTGAGATCTACAGCCCGGCGTGTCTCATGGATGATCTCATGGTGATCACCACTTCCGCAGCGCGGCAGAGACGGCCGGTTTACCACCGTTACCACGACGGCGTTGACGGTACTGGGGCGGTATTGGCGGTACTTGGGCGGTGTTGACGGTACTAGGGCGGTATTTGGACGGGCGTTTCCGGGCTTTGGCAGAGCCAACGAGCTTGCCTCTTTTAACACGCGCTCGGATGGGGGCCAAATTGACCCCCCAGAAGGTTTTTTCCAGAATGGATTTCGAACGGCGCGGCGTAGCCACGCCAAATGTTCCATTGCCGTAGACAATTGAATAGCAGATCACTTGGCATCAAACATTTAGATGTACCTCGTAAGGTCGTTGACCTATGGCAAGTCAAAGTCAGGCCGTGGTTCTAGCGAAGTCAATTTCTAGGGAATCGTTCAATCTGATGCAACAACGGAGTGTTAGACGAAGCCATACATCTCTGAGACGCTTTCTTAGGCAACACAAATACTGAAGGAGCAAATTGCGTTGACCTAAGGCCAGATATAAAGGTCAGATCAAGGTCAAAACCAGCCTGTTTTATTACTCTATGGCTTGCTATATGGGATAGCTTCTGGTGGTCACTTCAAATTTATTGACTACAGGAACCGCATTATTCATCTTCCATGGACTTCTTAGGGGTCAGAATAGGTTATTGACCTAAAATGACCCAGGTCAACATTTTACCAGCGTAATCTTTGTTGCATATTCAAATGCAAAGCTCAAGGCAGTCTTGCATGATTTTTGGTCATCATGACCTTCAAAAGGTCGAAAAAGGTCACTGACTTTAAATGAGCATGTGACCTTTTGCTTGGAATCGCTTATCTAAGTTCTGGGGGCACTTTGGAGACCAACGTGGAATTTGACCTACTTTACACGTTACACCTTATTTAACCTTATTTGACGCGAAGGTCATGACTTAGAAACCTCAAACTTTGACCTAAGTGAGTTCACGAACAGGTCAACACACCCTGTATATTTGGTTTCTCTAGCTTCTGAGTTCCCGAGATCTCAGCGGAGAGGGTCAAATTGCCCCCCACCCGAGCGAATGGTATTCAGCCGGCCTCCCAGGCGCGTGTTAAAACTGTCGCCCTTTTCTGGCGCTTTTCCGCTTTTAGGGCATTGAAAGCTGTCGGCCGCGCTGGAACCCGGCGCCAAGCTTTTTCAGCGTTGCGTTGGTGGTTCATGCGCTGGACCGGTGGGCGTCCAAAGCTTATATCGGATGTTAATGTGTCTCGTTCATGCATAATTCACGTAACAATTTAATCTGTTGCAGGTACCAAGCTCTGCAATGTTTTTAGCATCGTAAAAGCACCAAGCCGCACCTGCATGCAACAGAGAGGAATTCCTTTAGGCGCTATCCTATTTACACGGCATGCATTCGACATTAAACATTTAGCATGGTATTCGCGCACCCAGCAATGCGCTCCATGTCCACAGTGCACTGACACACGGTTGTCTCCAGTTCCAACTATGAAATGAAAAATGTTCTCGCGGACAGGACTCAGCTGCACACATTAAGTGCATTGCTAGCTGTGTTTGATCCAACCTTAATCAGCAAGTTAAGCCTGTTTCCGTTTGAGCGGTGTCACACAAGCAGAATCATGGCGTCAAGACTGATCGATGGCAAGGGATCGGGAGGAGACATTCCGACTTCTCAGTGGACATTTTGCGCAATTGCAAATCTGGATGATGGCACCGTACTCTTTTAGCCTCTTTTCCTGCATCCACCATGAATTGCAATGATTTTGACCACGGTTTGAACGTACGTCATATGCTCCAAATTCAGTGAACCCATTTCTCAATTATTGTTCGATTCCAGCACTCCGCGTCAAGACATCCATCGTCGTGTGTTTCCACGACTTCGGTGCCCTTTGCACAAGAAGATACCTAGGCAAGCGGCGAAATCCCACGAGCTCTCAGTTCTTGCCCTGCAAGCGCATGCTTGTCCACAAACTATTGTTTAAGGCTCGTGTTAACATGGTGACAGCATTATGGTGGCACGCAAGGGCGGCAAAACACCCGATGGTAACACGGCTATTGTTGCTGTCGCGTTGAATGTCAAGGCAAGCCCCATTACATAGGACACCCAGCTCACGCGAACTGTAATGAAGCTGAAAAGCGTGCAAGAACACACCCACATGCGTGTAGTCTCACGATATCAGAACCTCGGAGTGGCGTTCACTACACAGTCGAAAAAAACTGAAAGAAGTAACACGAAGCGTGTTAAACTTGCTGTTGAGTTGTAAGCGTAAGTTTAGTTGTAAGGAGAGCAGTGATATCAACGACGATTCCCAGCGACTGGTCAAAAAGTAAAGTATGCATCTAACAGCGAGTTGTCTTTTGTTCTGAGCGTAGCACTCGCCTGTCTACTGCATCGTTCTGACCGACGCGCCTTGGATGACCTGGGATACAGCTTTTCGAGTCACCTGCCACGCTTCCATTAGCGTCTATTTCCCATTCCCACGTGTCTAAAAGCGCCGGTAAAAAGCTAATTGTCCGGCGGGCCGAGCACAAATCGCGTCCGAGGGCAGGGCAGCCGGGCAGCGCGTCCGACGGCAGGCAGGCGGGCAGCGCGGCGGGCGGCAGACTCCTCGGGCCGCAGGCGGGCGTCGGCGGGCGGGCAACGGTCCCGGTTACGGGCGCCGCCGGCCAGCCTTGACATTGAGACGGGCGCGTCGACGGCAGGGGTGAACGGCCTGCGCCGCGCCGTGACCGCCGCCGCCGCCGCCGTGCGCGCGGGGCCGCTGACGAGCGGGGCCGCCGGGAGGCCGACGGAGAGGCGGAGAGACCACCGGGCGCCGCTCCGAGAATGGTGCGCCGACGGGCACGGTGTGTTCAGAGCGACGCTCCTGAACGGCCGCGGTCCACGCCACGCGGCTGCGGGTCGGGAATGACGAGCTGAAAGCTACCAGCGGCCTTCGCGCTATCAGTCAGCGCGAACTAGGCCACGTGGGGCCTCGTGCGGTTGGTCGCCTCGTAAAATGCATGAAGTCTGGCGACCAATGACCGGTAGATGTTTGTTGGTATGGCTGGGATTCAGGTGCAAGTCTGAACGAACTTTGCTCGGTGCCTTAAGTGCCGATTTAGGTTAGCTCTAGCACTGGCAATGCAGCCGGAAATGGAATAATCAGTACACATGTTTGTACTTACGCGCGGAGCGTAGGAAACTTAGGAGACGTAAACCGTTAAAAGACACCGCAAGGTTGGAAAAATCAGAATTGCGATTACGTGGTTGCATTGAATGAAAACGCACGCAAAATACAATTTCGTTTGCTACACCTTGTGTTAAACTGCACGTTTGGGCACGGCTAGTCCTCACTGTCCTCGGTGGTAAAACAATTCACATTTACGTCGGCATCTGCACACACGAAGAAGTGGAGGCCCATCTGTTCCACCTAGTGCATCCATGCTCGGCACATGGGCGTTAATTATGCATTCAACGAAGAGCAAATTGATGTACGTGCCTGAACTTGACCTTGATGCGTATGGAACCGGTGCTCAGCTACATTTACGGAATCGCCCACAGCGATGAGCTCAGTGCTGACCTAGAGCCGATCATCTGCCATTTTCCGTGCATGTTGTTGTTGATCGGTAATTGGAAAAATGACACCATGCTCATAGGCATGTGGTATTTTACGTTGGACCCCCGTGCGTACTGATCACCACATAAATAAGCTACGCACTCTCGTTTGTCCCCAACATGTATTAGTTACGAATTTCAGGGCGACAGGAACACCCCGCCGAGGTAATAAGCTTGGGCACGTCTTGCGGAACTTTGCAGGGCGGGCATGCACGTGCATATTGGTCAACGGCCATAGTGCAGCCGCCCGGCAGCGGCCCTTTCCGGGGTCATTACCCTTTGAGGATGGGGTCGGGTCTTCACTGCACGCGATTAGCGCATGTACACCGGTGCGGAGATAGGTGTCATGATCGACAATGTCACCGCTCCAAGCGAATCACTAGGATTGACGCTTGTTGCGGGATGCTTGCGCTGTAGCTTACGTTACCCGTTTGGAGGTGTATCCCCATACTGCCTTTTCACGTCGGTTTGCAAGTGCTTGCACACCGCACGCGTCCGCTTTAACAGGCATTTGTCAGTCACCCATCCCTGGGATGACCCCCGCCTTGTTCTATCCTAGCCCACTAATCATGGAGGTCATTGTGCAGCTAGGATGTCAACCAACCAGGATAGGATGTCAACTCACTAGCCTACGATCTCACCCTACGGTTATCGCCGGCACCACACACCCGGCTCCTGTACGTGCCCCTCTCCCTCCGCCCGGCTCCTGCACGCGCCCCTCTCCTTCCGCCCGGCTCCTGCACGTGCCCCTCTCCCTCCCCCTGGCTCCTGCACGTGTCCCTCTCCGTTGGCCCGGCTCTTGCACGTGCCCCTCTCCCTCCGCCCGGCTCCTGCACGTGCCCTTCTCCGTCGACCCGGCTCCTGCACGTGCCCCTCTCCCTCCGCCCAGCTCCTGCACGTATCCCTCTCCCTCCGCCCGGCTCCCGCGCATACCCCTCTCCGCCGGCCCGTCTCCCCATCTCTCACCAGGGTGCAGGCGGTGAGCAGGGCGGCGGCAGCAGCGGCGCGGGCACGCATGTCGACACTTGGCGCGGCGGCGGCCGGCGTGGACTGAGCAGGCCGTTGGCGCGCCGCCCGTTCCAGTCTTCGCGGCCAGCGCAGGGGCCGCGCCCCCAGCCGAGGAGAATGACCGACCGGCCGGCGGCGCATTCCGCCCCGTCCGCAGCGGAAGGGCCAGAGGTCGGTTCGGTGGACGGGGTCACGCCGCGATGGACGATGGCCGGAGGTTGTTGGTCGGCGGCGATGAGATGTGGGACCCGTTCACGCTCTGAGGGCGTTTGCCTGCGGTCATTGGTCGGCGGCGATGAGATGTGGGACCCGTTCACGCTCTGGGGCGTTTGCCTGCGGTCATTGGTCGGCGGCGGGGAGATGTGGGACCCTCTCACGCTCCCGGGGGCGTTTCCCTGCGGTCATCAGTCGGCGGGGAGGATGTATGGGACTGGGCCACGCTTTGGAGGACTGGACCTAGATCCGTTGCTGACCTGTCAGGTCAGCGATAATGACAGGTGGAACAGGGTCACCCTGCTGGGGACGGTGCCCTGGGTTGGTCAGAGCTGGTCACGCGAGGGGCCGATTCACGCTGTGATGGGTGAGATCTGAGTTCATTGGTCGGGCCGCGAGACCGGGTCATGCCTGGAAAGGGCAGCGTTTTGGAGTCGTTTGTAGGCAGTGATGACGTGCACAACTGGGTCATGGCCTGAGGAACAGTTCTTTAATGTCACCAGTCAAAGATGAGTGGGCGCCCAGGTCTACTTCGCATGCCGCTATATTGACTTGCCACTTAGCAAATTTCGTTGACACTGTCTTTTGTGCCTTGTACTACACTGTCACGGCTTCCTGGGATTATGTTTTACTGTCTTCTGGCCCAGAATAGTGACCATTCCCAAACAAAGCCAGCTGTTGCCCAGTCTGCTAAATCTCCGTAGAACAAGTATCGCTCCAGTTTAAGCAGGGCTTTGCTTCCGTTGTGTCGGATTACTGGGATCTCATCTGTCGTCATATTCAGCCTGCGCGGGTGCAGCTCACGTCGTTTCCAGACGACAAAGCCATGATGCCGCCACCGCACGCTCCCCGCCGCCGTCGCTCGCGTCAAGCCGCCAACCGTGCGTATCGCCGCAAGTGGTCTCTGGTCCTTGCGTGCTGCGCGCGCGACGCGACACCTCTCCGTCGAGAGCCTCACCGTCACCGTCACCTCACCTCACCGAGAGCCGGCGAGTTCCGCCATCACTGAGGCTGCATTCCGACCAGCCGACGTGTGGATGTCGGTGTGGTCATTTTCTGGCGCGTTTCCGTCAACTAAGAGTTTCAATGGTGGTGCCTGAACATTGGTGGATTGAAGAAAAACGCTCTCTCTCCCTCCCTCTCTCTCTCTCTCTCTCTCTCTCGCTCTCTCTCGCTCTCTCTCGCTCTCTCTCTCTCTCTCTCTCTCTCTCTCTCCTCTCTCTCTCCTCTCTCTCTCTCTCTCTCTCTCTCTCTCTCTCTCTCCTCTCTCTCTCTCCTCTCTCTCTCTCTCTCTCTCTCTCTCTCTCTCTCTCTCTCATCTCTCTCTCTCTCTCTCTCTCTCTCTCTCTCTCTCTCTCTCTCTCTCTCTCTCGCTCTCTCGAGTACCAGGAGTTGGTGGTGAAAATTGCTGGTGACAGTCAGCACAACTTCGGCCCTGGTGATAACGTATAGGCTCGCAGCCTCTCAGGACCGAAGAGGCGGAGGGGTCACATAGAGGCACGAACGGGACCAGTCTCGCATGAGGAAGCCGTCGGGGACGCCTGCTGGAGCCAGCATGCTGATCAGCAGCTGCACGCGGAAGACACTGCACGCCCGGTGACGCCAAGGTAATACCGGAGTGGGCCCTCCGTACACGCCGTGGGTCCCTGCACCCGTCGATGCGATGCCGGCGCAGCCGACGGAGGAGTGAGTGCGTTGGCCTGCATCGTCTGGGGATGCGTCATCGTTGCGGGAAGCGTCGGAGTTGGTGCCACCACTCACGTCTACTGAGGAGGCTGGTGGGCAGTCACCGCTGGTTTCATCACATTCGTCCATCGTTCAGTCCGCGCCCGTGTCGGCGGGGAGGCTGTGTCCGTGTCGGTGTGAGGGAGGGGGAGGCTGTGCCCGTGTTGGCGGGGAGGCTGTGCCCGTGTCGGCGGGGGAGGCTGTGCCCGTGTCGGCGGGAGAGACTGTGTCCATGTTGGCGGGGGAGGCTGTGTCCATGCCAGCGGGGCAGGTTATGTCCGTGTCGGTGACGAAGGCTGTGCCCGTGTCGGCGGGTGAGGCCGTGCCCGCGTCGGCGGGAGAGGCTGTGCCCGCGTCGGCGGGGGAGGTTGTACACATGTCGATGGAGGAGGTTGTACCCGTGTCGGCGGGGGAGGACTGTGTCCGTGTCGACGGCAGAGGCTGTGCCCGTGTCAGCGGGGAGGCTATGCCCGTGTCGGTGACGGAGGCTGCGCCCGTGTCAGCGGGGGAGGCTGTGCCCGTGTCGGTGACGGAGGCTGTGCCCGTGTCAGCGGGGGAGGCTGTGCCCGTGTCGGTGACGGAGGCTGTGCCCGTGTCAGCGGGGGAGGCTGTGTCCGTGTCGACGGCAGAGGCTGTGCCCGTGTCAGCGGGGAGGCTATGCCCGTGTCGGTGACGGAGGCTGTGCCCGTGTCAGCGGGGGAGGCTGTGCCCGTGACGGCAGGGGAGGCTAAGCCCGTGTCGGCGGAGGCACGGTACATTGCCGCACCAACCGCACGGTTCGCGGCCACGTATGCCGGCGGCCCGGTACAACACGGGGCGCTGAGTAACAGCTGAGTAACAGCTGAGTGCCGTCAGGCGGGAACTCTCCACGCTGTCTCCGGTTGAGACAGGTCGAATGTACCTGAAGGTTAGCCATAGTATCAAAGAGGGACCCCTAATGACAGGCGGATGATCGTGTGTAATTGGGGCTATAAACGCCTAAAGGCAACCATCGTTGGAGATCCTTGTCGTCCGTCCTCCGCCGTCCACGAGACTCGAGGACTTTCGGCTAATATGGTCATCGGTCGATGACCCCCACCGGCGGGAAGCATCTACGGAAGGCAAAGATGTCTGCGGGCGTAACAGTACATGCTGGAAGGCGTCAAGCTCTGCGTCTCTTGTCTCCCCGACGGATGGAAATAGAACACCCCCGACAGAGGGGAAATAGGGCCAATATAGTACGGAGGCTTAATACAATTGAGATGTTCTCTCGGGCGCGCGCTGGAAAAAAATCTGTGGAAAGGCTTAGGTTTTATGAGAATTGAACGATGACATTTCATTTGTGTCTATTATGGTGTCTTACTTGCATTCCACTCTCTTCCTGCATGGAAGAGAAAATGGAGTTAATGTTTTCAGTCGAAACGCAGAACGGTGGTCTCACCCTACCACTGGCGACAACAGGGTAGCCTAGTACTGTCTGATGCAATCGTAGTGTAGCGTCGTGTCCCGACCGAACGCGGTGCGAGCAGGAGGGGTAGCCAGGACCGGGATGTGTGCTGAGAGCCCTGGCTGGTTGCGGCAACTGGCCCGGCCGGGGTCATGAGGGCGTAGTCTGCAGCACCACATGAACGCTGACGCAGGGCGGACGCGGTGCGAGGGGGGTGGGCAGTCAGGACTGGGGATGCGTGCTAAGAGGCCTGGTTTGCTTTGAGTTGTATTAGGTTCTAGGCAATACAAGTCTGATTGCTAACGGACTTATGTAGAGTCGCAGCGACGGTGAAAGATAAAAGTATTCGATATAGTTACCGGACATGGGAGTACGAAAACGGAACAAATCGTACTAATGGTGTGGTAAAAGTATATCTTTAATCTCGACACGTCCTTAACAACTGAAACACTACCAAGGTCTTGCGTCTTGCCTTTGGCAGAAACGTTACGTACCAATGCGCTTCTGCAATGAACTGTCAGCTGTGACTACAACGCACTCTCTTGGAACGAGGGCAATGCTGGGAAAAACCCTTGCAGACTCGAATTACAGCGTGCAGTGAGGTACGTATTACAGCATGCAGAGAGAGAGAGAGAGAGAGAGAGAGAGAGAGAGAGAGAGGAGATGAGAGAGAGAGAGAGAGAGAGAGAGAGAGGGAGAGAGAGAGAGAGAGAGAGAGAGAGAGAGAGAGCGAGAGAGAGGAGAGAGAGAGAGAGAGAGAGAGGAGAGAGAGAGAGAGAGAGAGAGAGAGAGAGAGAGAGGAGAGAGAGAGAGAGAGAGAGAGAGAGAGAGAGAGAGCTGGCGGCAATAAGGGAGGATTGATTAAATCAAGACCTTATGTCACAAATTTGCAGGCGTTAATTTAAAATGATTTTCTGGCAGATCTAATCCCGTTTGTCTAGGCCGACGCGGACGAAGAAGCATCAGCGCGGGGTAGTGCCTTAGTCACATCACCACGTGGCATTGGCTAATCTCGTATACCTCTGCGCGTTACGCAAGAGCGAGCCACCCCGTTGTCTCTTGCGCCGATGGCCCTTGCGCCTGGGAAATCCCCCGCTCCCTGTCATCACGCTGGTATCTGACCCTCAAACAACGAAAAAGACTCGATAAAAACCATCCTACAGTCATCGCAGTAATGCCTCGCCATTAGAAGGCGTACTGTCACGTTTTTCTGGCGTTTCATGGAAATGCATGGACGACCGTGACTGGCAGCGCGTGACTCACTGATGGTCCTGTACCTTCGACGGACGGGTCCCGTCCCCAAAAGCAGAACTTGCGGCTGCGACTGGACACTGATCGCGAAACTCAATGAAATGACGGTGGCGTGTGCCGCCGGGGATGGAGCAGGCTCACCAGGGGAGCAGCTGCGGACGGTGTGAACAGCGCTGACGGCAGCGTGTGGACGGTGGCGTGTGCCGCCGGGGATGGAGCAGGCTCACCAGGGGAGCAGCTGCGGACGGTGTGAACAGCGGTGACGGCAGCGTGTGGACGGTGGCGTGTGCCGCCGGGGATGGAGCAGGCTCACCAGGGGAGCAGCTGCGGACGGTGTGAACAACGGTGACGGCAGCGTGTGGACGGTGGCGTGTGCCGCCGGGGATGGAGCAGGCTCACCAGGGGAGCAGCTGCGGACGGTGTGAGCGGCGGTGACGGCAGCGTGTGGCGGCTGCTGGCATCCTGCAGCATGGCGACGGAGTGCGAATCCTATTGAACATGGCTAGGCGACCCCATCGGCTCATTACGCCGAAGACGTTCATCAAGTAGGTGAATAGTAGTTTTTGACGGCGCCAAACACGCACCTGAGGCCGCCCACCGTGGCTTTGCTGAATGACAAGAGCAGGCGGGAAAGCGCAGCACACGCATCTACGTGTGCAGAGGGCACCTTCGTGAGTAGGATTTTTCGGCATAGAGCCGACGTTTCATCTGTTAAACTTCCTTCTCGGCACTGATCCTCTTGAGCGGGTCTGAGCCTCTTCTAATCGACGTGTATCCATAAAGTAGAGCCGTTAGCTGTAAGCAACAAAGGGATTCCCGGGCCAACTGCCCGCTCACCCCGGGCGAATGACCGCGATATCTCACCTCACCTCACCCCGTGGTTTTCGCGGCTGTACTTTCAGACAACCGTTCACCAGATAGCGGACTGCAGGACGCTTATGCTCGCTGACCGCTGAACGATGTATACAGGTCGCGACCACGCATGGCCCAGTTCAATGAACGGCGGTAGACATCTCAGACCCGCTTACAGGCAGTGGGCCATTTCCCGCCCACCTTAACACAAACATTCCTCAGCGGCCACCGGCATCTGACGTGGTATTTTGTTTCATCGCAATTCGAAATATACTCGCGGTGGGCTGACAAGGTGCCTTCCTTTGAAGCCCGACCGGCAATGTACGACGCAGCCGCCGGAATTACGCTAGCTAGTCGTGTTGCTCAAGTCGCAGTTATGTTTTTATCTCTCAGGCCTGGGCCGCGCCAAGCCCGCATCAAGACGAAAGTCATATTACTTGCTTAAGGTTGCGTATCAATGATGCTAACGCAGGCGCCAGTTGACGTGGACAGAGCTTTATAAAATGTTCTGCAAGCAATCGTTTTGTGGCTGTTTCAGTTGATGTGCTCTGGTTCCCGTTGAAGCCATTGACAAGGTGGGAAATAATTGTCTGGCCAGACACAACGTGACACTACATACCAGAGCGACATACCAGAGTGTCAGTGTCATACCATACCAGAGTGGACATACCGGTGTCTCGCCAGACACTCTGGTATGTCCGAGTCCACGGGATGAGCTAGCTCCCCACCAAAACTTCTTACAGGAGATGCCCGCCTCATATATTACGTGTTTCTCGAAATTCTTATGCGAATGAAATTCAGACCAGATGCTCTCGTTCGGTACCTCGCGCATAACCATCAGTCAAACATATTCAGTTTTCTAAGGGGAGGGGGGAAGAACAGGTTGAACCCGTCTCAACCATGCATTTTGAAAGCAAACCCCACCGCACAGAGATAATTTGTACGGCTTGGTAAGGAGCTTCAATGCGACAGAAACGTTACAGCCGGTCTCTTCTCACCTGTGCCACCCGGTGACGATGCGATCACGCGACTGATCTACTCGAATGGAATTATAACTTCAATGCATTGCTGGGGGACATGCCACCATGGACGGGCAGCTGAACACTTGACCTTACTTGGCTTCCGCTTCAAATACAGGCAACCGTTACGGGTTGGGGTAGGCTTTCCAACAAGTGTTTTTATTTACGCTCGGAAGCACGTTTGATGCCCGGCAGATGTCTCTCCTTGCGTCCGCCCAACGTCAGTGTTCGCCAGATGTCAGGCCGAGCGTTTGCGTCAGGCGAATGTCTGGTCGACCACCCCGCTCCCAGGTCGCGCGCACACCAGACATTTTGTAAGACGCATGTGCCAATGCGTAGAGTAACCACACTGTGTAGACAGAGCGTTTTCCAGACTTAAGTTCCGAGTGTCGGCCTTGTTGGATAGAAAGCTCGCTGAGCGGGGCAGAGTCAAAAGGCGGCAGTCGGGCAGCAGCAGGCCGGGCCCCCGCCACCGGCCAGGCCAAGGTCTGCACGCTGGTCCATCCAATGCTTGACCGGGGAGGGCAAGACACGACACTGCGCCACCACTTTGGCTTCATACAAAAGAAAAACAATTAGGGCTCTGCCTGCTGACAGGCCAACGCTACCTCACAATCACGGACATGTATTTCTCGCGTTCGCTCCCGGCTGAATGCTGGTGGCCATACACCGGACACTGTCCGTGCACACTGCCCTGATGCCCACGATCGCTGTAACTGGCGACCCGACCACACCCGATGCTCTCGCCCACCAGCACATGCCGACAGGTAGTTCGCGACCATGAGCCGCCGCCGGCACTGACGGAGCGCGCGATGACGGGGAGCTGAGCCTGGATGACGATGATGAGTCCGCCGGCGGCCTCTCCACTTGGGTGGCCGCACGGGTGCGCGGAGGCGCTGGCGGAGACGGCCCCTGACGCGCCTCACTTCTTGGCGAAGGCGATCTTCATCGCGTGCGAGTGCGTGATCTTGAAGCCCTGCAGCGCGTTCTTCGCGGCCGTCGACTGGATCTCGTTCTCGAACTCGACGAAGGCGATGTCGTGCCGACCCGGCACCAGACGCACCTCCTTGAAGCCCGGGAACCTGCGGCAGGGTGCGGGGGCGTCTCAAGGATATGGCTCACACGGCACGTCACCAATCAACAATTACAGTGCATCTGGTCTAGATAACCCAGAAACAAAAACAAAACTTCCGGCGATGTGCTAGTTAGTTCAAGCATATCACATTACATTATTGCTAGATCAGTAATGGGCACAAATAATCGTGGCAGTTGACACCCCTTAAAATCCGATAACTGACTAACTGGATCAGCAACTGCGCGGAGTCAAATAAAGAGCATAATGACAGGCGTACAGTAAACAAAACTGCCAACGCAACTTCGCAATATCAAGGGACTCTGAGAAAATTTGGCAAGCTTAAAATACTGTCCATTTTTCAACAACTAGCAGGTAGTTCCGACATTTTTTCAATTCCAACAAACCGTGAACAATGGAAGCATTGCCACTTCCAGTATTAGTTTTTGGTCCCAAAGAAACTGGTTAAAGTGTGGTTATGCTGGGGTTCTATTACCGCGCACTCGTCTACCATGGGGCCATGCTAAAACCAAACATGGATTCTCGGCACACCAAGAACATGTTCTTTTACGCGAGGTCACATAAAACCTTTGCTGGGCACGTTTGCAGCGCCAGTTTTATATTACCATTGTCGTTGCATTCGTGGTAATAAACGACATTTGAGACAACAACTTTTTCAGAGCGCTCTACGCGTGCACCTAAATCATCTAGGATGCAACTTATGCTCTTTGCGGCTTATCGACACAACGTTTCATCAACGTTGTGCCAACGTCACAACGTTGCCCGTCCGTTAGTCGCGGAGAGCAACCCAACCTGCTTTTAAATTAACCTGTTGTGCATAAAATCTCTGCAGTCCGGGTTTCTGTGAATACACTCCAAGTCTTTGCTGAACTGGTGAGGCATAAACGCATTCGCTTCTACATGAAAACAAGATGACTGAGGAGAGCGTGTCACAACCTTGTACACATCTCACTACAAACTTTTCTTATCGGCAATCCCGATCGCTTCAAACAGATCGCTGACGCCCACTCACTGGTTGAAGAGCATCTGCAGCATCATCTCGTTGGTCTCCTCGGGCAGGCTGGTGAGGAAGAGGATCTGGTTGGGCGGCTGCTCTGGTACTACCACCGGCGGCTGCACCAGCGGCACTGCGGGCGCCACGGGCACGGGCCGCGGCGCGGCGCGCGCCACCGGCGCTGGCGCGGCGGCCGGTGGCGCAGCCGCGGCGCGCTTCTTGACCTTCTTGTTCAGCGGCTCCTTGCGCTTAGGCCGCTCCACGTAGGTGCCCTTGAGCTTGGCTACGGCGTCCGACTCAGACTTGCAGTACTGGATCCGCTGCGGACGTCGCAGGGAGCGATGTCAGTTGTGCGGTCCGAGACGAGGCGGAGGGCAGCCTCGCGCGCACAAGATAGCACGCAATCGACGGTAATGTTCCAAAGAAGACTCTTGCTTAAGTGCAGCTGCTAGTAATTAAACAGCTTCTGTGTCTGCTACATATAAATCGGCGGCAGGAAAAACATGCCCGTCGAAAAAGCAGAATTGTACTTTCTCTCCCCTCACCAGATACATGCATTTTTGAAGGTAACAATTCTGATCAATGACATAAATTTCAGGACCAATACACGTTTTTAGCAACCATATGCAGCACATTTCAAACACACTTAAATATACCTGGAAATGATTACTAAGCCACAGAAACACAACCAGGCCTTCAATAAGCAGGCAAAAGCCTCTCAGATATGCCCACAACATGATGGCACCACACAATTTTGCTTGGGGATTCCAAGTTTCCTCCTTTTGCAAGACTTAGTCCACCCTCTTAACATAGGAGCACAAGTTCAGACCAGCACAGGCCTCTCAGCTGATCCGGGGGAGCTAGATACATGTGGAAAGTAAAATGCTCACTCATCATTGCTGCTACTCAATTTCTCAAGTGATACACAAAAAAGTTGCTGCCTGGACATCTGGGCATCATCAAATTCAAACCCTGGGCATCAAATTCCTCAACAGGAAGGATGCCTTTCTTGCATACCTAACATGGTTGCAACCTTGCTAAACCAACACACCTAGCACAAACATCAAAGTAGAATCACACTTACCATAGGTTTTTCATAGAACGGGAAACCTTGCATGGATCTGAGGGCATTTGTCGCACTCGATATGTCTTTGAAGACCACAAAAGCCTGGCCCCTCATTTTCAGGTTTTTTAATGCAACTATCTCCAGGATTTGGCCAAACTGTGAGAAGATTGCATACAGAGACTTCTTCAGATCTGAAAAAGGATGTTTACAGTTATGGCATTGCTATGAGAAAATACTCAGCTAAGTGGCACAGTGATGAGGCTTTGTAGAAGTAAGAAGCAGTGATCACATGAGATGCATCTTGGAGGTGCATATGCATACAAACTACATACTGAGAGTTCTACAACTGCGAGTGTTGCTACACTGACCCATTTGCAGTAATCTTACCTGTTTTCTTCACCTTCTCATTCAGGTTGTTGATGTAAATGGTTTGATTTGGCCGGTTCTCCATCTGTGAACAAGTGACAGTGATACAAAACAGATCAGGTAACCTGTCAAGTGAAAAAGAACCCCAAATTACACTTCTGCCAAAAACTTGTAAAAGTCAGTAATGAACTATCTCCAGCTATAGGCATACACAAATAACATGTACATACCTGGGTTTTAATAAACAATAATATTACATTGAATATTATTCTCTTGAAAACTTCTTTGCATGTTAAGTAAAGCATATTTGTCTATTGTGCCAAAGTGCTCTCCCATTCAAGTAAGGACAAAAGATGGGGAGAGCTTGTCCCAAAAGCATTGGACCACACCCCAAACTCATTTAACTTTTAAACCTTCCTTTTTAAAATATAAATTATCTAACTTATATCTATCTATCTATCTATCTATCTCTCTATCTATATATATATATATATATATATATATATATATAATATCCACTAAATTTAAATGACTTCCTTTCCTTTGAGCTTTAAAATGATATCATTCTGTACTATCTCTGGCCAATAACTGTGGGCAAACAAATATTTCTGTTGCTCTTTTTTAGGTCATGTTTTTTAAGGTAGCTCAACCCAATGCATGGCTTTCCATTATCTACATATGTATTTGCAGGTGTTCTAGGTGCGACTTACCTGCGGAAGAAATTAGCAGCATAATCAGTAGAGCAAGTGTGCATCAAGACCATGCAGTGCCCTTAAAGAATTGCACTCAATGTACTTAACTTTTTCTCACCATGGTGATAGGATAGACAGGATTAACAGCCAGGCATGCAGAATAGTCATGTTACTATCTGAAAATCTCATTAGTCTTATGTCGCATGCAGGGTTGAAAGGACCTCTAAGACAGCAGGAACCGGGCATCAATGATTTTAAGTATATTTTTCTGTGCACAGCCATAGGGCTCATGCCACATGTTTCCTGTGTTGTATGCACAGCTACCCCTCCACCCTTGCAGTCCCCATCCCAGTGCAGGGCCATACTGGTAGGTGGGAATTATAAATTTGTGATGAATGTGACACACCACTTGATCCTAAAAACGTCGCTAGCGGGAACTACAAAACCCTGACGTATCTATCTACTTCTCAGAACTTCTGAAACAACATTCGTCAAAGGCTAATCTGGAGATTTAAGGAGGTTCTATTCAGGCTCCTACTGCAATCGATAATAAAGGGATACCAGGGCGCAGCATTAATGTTACCTCGACTCAAACCGCGCACGTCTTCTCAAGCAAGAGGTGCAAAATGGTATCAGATGCCTGAATGCGCGTAACAAGTTAAAATTATTTTCCCAGCGCGCGACTGCTGCTCGCTGATGTATCGGGCCGTCCTCTTCAGGGTTGGTCTCGTGCGTATACCGGCGCCAACGTTTCCATAATCAACGATGTCCCAAATTGGGCATACTGTCCAGAGTAAGCTGGTGTTATTATCAAGAGCAGGACTGCTTTACTTTGATTAGCAAAAAAGTAAGAATGCAGTTTCATTCGCTATTATTGGCGTTTCAACGCACATTTGTAAGCAGTGTAACCCCAAATAGAACAGATGCCGCAAACGTACGCGATTTATAAACGATAATGGCGCGCCTGAGATGATCTTTGAGCCTAAACATGCACGTTCATTTGCGCACCCTAAGAAGCTTTGCGCCATAACCCACGACAGCAACATCAGTTGCGCATCTACGACCTTGCACGCGAGAAGTCAACAAACGGCTTGGACGGCCCGCCCAGCCTGAGGGACGCGTGGGGAACGTCTGTCTGTGAGGTTAGACTGGACAGAGGTATGTATGAGGTGGCCGGGGACTATTTGGTGCCTCCCCTGATAGGCATGCTGAGATGTTACCAAAGATTGCTCTATGTCCAGGCAAGGTCGCAATCACTCATCGAAAAATAAATGAAAAGAGCTGTGAATGGTCTTAAAGTAAAGCAAAGTTAATCGGGTCAAAGTTGGTGGGTCTTCCATCCCCCCTTTGGCATGCCTCTGTTTCAGGGTCTGTCCTGATGATGCCTATCCTTAACTCTTAAGCTTCACAGGCTGCAATTTTACCTTACATCTAGGTGCTGTGGCATGGTCCTGTTTAAGTACCCAACTCCCTGGGGCTCATCAATGCACCTGGTCCCAGTCTACAAAAATCCATCCACCATGGAATGCTTACAGAAATTGGTGGTGGACATGTGCCTGACTCAATGCTCCTGGATATATGCTGTGCTATGCTCAACTTGTGACTGAGATATTGCGGCTGTGTCAGACCTGTTCATTATAATATGCTATGGTTACAGTCTGGCCTTGGCCTTCTCATCACATTGTTACTGTGATTTGGACAATGTACCTTGCTACTATGTACTATGCTACCTTGCTACAAGGACAATGTACCTTGCTACTATGTACTATGCTACCTTGCTACAAGGACAATGTACCTTGCTACTATGTACTATGCTACCTTGCTACAAGGACAATGTACCTGGTACAACCCTGCTTACTATGGCAGGGAATTTGAGAAGATCCCTAAGATATCCCCAATATATTGTCCTTTAGGCAGCATCACACCAACCTTTTTATTTAGCAGTTCAGTGGAAAAGTATAACAGCTCTTTTGTTAATTTGTCAGCTCATAGCTGACAATAGAATATAATTTGTCAGCTCATAGGTAATTATGATTGGCTGTCATGGGCTGGTGTGCACAGCACACAAAAGAACTACCAAAGTAGACACAGATCCACACAATTAATATGAACATAATGATACCATAGAAATGACTAGGAGGAAACCAAACCCACTAACTTCCTAATTGACACCCCATTGTTAAGTGGAGATCAGCTGTGTTACTGCAGCATAAGACTCAATGTGTTTTCACTTGCAGGTGCACATAGTTTATTGTGTCACAACCAAGGTTGAAGAGCCAAACATGTCACCCACTAGAGTGCTGCATGTGAACACTCCACTCATCATGGAATGTTCAGTGGAGGAGTTATCAGAGGTGCAGCTTCGGCATTTTAACACAGCAAAGAAGACATATCAAGACGCTATCAAGAAGGCAAACCGTGAGTGTGCTAGGCGCAGGATGATAATGTGTCTATATGTGCTACTGGTGTTTATAAGCATGGTACATTATTCTTCATTCCACCTGTCAGGTGCATTTTTGCAGAATTTGGAATTTCTACGTGGTGTGTACCAGCTGAGCATGCAAACATTTTGGGCATAAAATGGCCACTGCCATTGATGCACCCCTAGGCCCAATTGACAACACCAGTCAAACATTCAACAGTCCCTAATTCTGTGCACCTGCATTGTATATGGATTATGTTTATGATTTTGTGATCTGATATCCTCTCACTCTGCCTAATGTATTTTGGTCTCTTTAACCTTACATACCAGCAAGTTCATGCTCGCCCACACCAGAAGCAGGCTCGGCTTGCTCTGCTGCGTCCGTTTCGGCGACAGCTGACGTGCTGCGGTGTTGGCAGGCCTGTTGCTCTCCCAGCCGACGCCCGCAGTGGTACCGCCGCCGCCGTCGCCGCCGCCGCCGCCGCCGGCTGCCGTTGATTCCAGCGGTGACGAGGCAATGCCGTCGGCACCGTCGCCGTCACCGCCGTCACCGGTGCCGCTGCCTGTGATGGCGACGGCGCAGGTGCCGCGTCCCGTGCCGTCACGCGCCTTGCCTCTCGCCGAGAGTAGCCCCTTCACAGGCGCTGTGAGCAATGCAAAATGTGGAGGAAGGGTTGGGTATCTGAGGCGTATGTAATCTGTAGGGTTGGTAATTTTGGCATGCTTTCAAGCTAAAGAGCGCAGGGTAGATTGCATCTAATGTTTTGCTTATGTTTACTATAAATTATGTTACTTATTTCGGGCCGGATAACCAGTTATATACAAGAGACGTGTGGTGAGGGAGGTACGAGTGTTGAGGCTTCAAGACATGTCGATGGACGACGCTCAGTCGAGCTGTCGGCGTACACGTTCCACGCGGTAGCGCGGCGACGTCTCTTCACATTGCGCCCTGTCGTACTAGCAGCGCCTGTTGCCCTGGCAGAACCTGTCGTCGGAGATCCCGCCGCCGCAACGAATCTCGCTGTCCACGCCGCAGCCGCTGGAGAAGCGCGTGGCGGTCCGCACCGCGTCGATACCGACATCGGCTCCCGAGCAGCCAGCAGCAGGTAGTGGACCGAGGGGCGGCCTGTAAGCGGACGTATGGTGGAGTTAACTGATGTCGGATGTTAATGCCTCGTAACGGTCGTCCATGGGTTTTCACTTTCTTCTTCGCTGGCAAGCGTAGCAAGGACGCGCGAACAGATCTTGATTAGGTGAAGAATGTATCAGAACTGAAGATCGTTGCGTTCCCCGCAATCTTTTTTGTCACTGGGCATGTTTTGGTGTGTGTATTTTCTAAGCTACCAAAGATCATGCGGACAAAAATCGCCTACAGACTCATGTGAGGCGCCCTGGGATTACAGCACGTCAGCGGGAGCAGACGCTGACGTGAATCGAATCACGCCGTGTGCTTGAGCCGCTGTTGCGCCCCGGTCGCTCCCTGTCGGCCATCGCCAACCCCTGACGGCGGCGTCCGTGCCGCCCCGCTAACATTGCGCCGGCCGCCGGCAGCCTCACAGCCGGACGCCGAGGTGACAATCGCGGAGGAGGTACCCGCGGCGTCGGCCCGGCGCGCGTCCGTCGACATTCCCGTCCACGAGATGCAGGTGAAGACGTACCCGGCGCTGCACGTGCAGCTCCGCACGCCCTACTCGCTCACGCCGGCCTCCAAGACCAACTACCCGTCTCGGCGCTCCCAGCTCGGTGAGGGCTGAGTCTGGTCCGAGAGCGGTGCCACGCCGGAGTAGACAATCTGCCGGTCATCGGTGAGGTGGCGAGGGCTGAGTCTGGTCCGAGAGCGGTGCCACGCCGGAGTAGACAATCTGCCGGTCATCGGTGAGGCGGCGAGGGCTGAGTCTGGTCCGAGAGCGGTGCCACGCCGGGGCAGACGATCTGCCGGTCATTCGGCCGTTTGTGTGTTGTGTTTTGCTGGACATTAGATCGTCTTTTCCGTCTTATTAAAGGTAAAAACGTTTCTTGTGATAAATGGGTAAACGCTGTGTCGGTACGTTTGCAAAATGGACTAGTTGTGAAGTTAGGCGTTTGTTTCCGCAACCTTCACTCTCTGCTGGAATATGAGCTCATCGCTCCACGCTGCAGCGTCCAAACAGGTCTGCACCATCCGCGCGTGGCCCGCGGCTTTAAGACTGACCTGCTTTTTAACCGCGCCGGAGACTGGCCACCACTGTGCGCGCACCTGAGCGGCGCCGCCCTGTGTTGCCAGACATCCGCGTGAAGCGCGTGCTGCTGCACACGCCGAGCCAGTTCACGGAGTGGCTGATCCAGGTGCGGCTGGTGCGCGCCGTCCAGTTCTGCCCCACCCACCGGGTCACGTGGTCCGGTCAGCCCCGCCAGCTGCGGCTCGGCATGTTTACCGACTCGGACAAGCTCTCGCAGTCAGGAGGTAGGCGTCCGTGCGCCGGGCGCGGACCACGCGCCGGTGTGCCGCTGTCCGAGTGCCGGGGAGCTGGCGAGCTGTCTGGACTGGTGAAGGATGGGACTTTGGGTCTGCAGCCTGCATGTCAGCCTTTCGGCAGTTGCGGCTCTGTGCTTGTTTTGATGGTGTTTACTGTCAGTTACCCTTGGAAGGAATGAGTTAACAATGGGCTGTGTAGCGAAAAAGACAACGTAAGTCGGCCGGCTACGCGATCTACAATTCTCTTCTCGAAGTGATCGGGCTGACGAGCTCTCCCAGCCAGAGATGTGCCTCGGTCTCGCAACACCCAGCAGCGCGCGACCCTCCCGGTGTCTGGTGCGGCACCCCTCTGACCCGCCGCGCCGCCCGCAGGCTACGTCTGGGTGAAGAACTGCTGCCGGCCCAAGTACCTGTCGGTGCACTACGGCTCGTTGTTCGACGTCACCCGCCTGCTGCTGCCGACGACGGCGCCGGTGCAGGTGCTGAAGCTGATGTACCACTGGTCGTGCCAGACGCCGCTGCACAACGTTACCCAGTGGCTGAAGTTGCGCCCGATGCTGGTGGACGAGGTGTTTGGCCTGCTACGCGCCGTCTGCATGCTCAAGATGGAGGAGCCGGTGCCCAAGCTGGGCGGCTCGGGCCACACCGTCCAGGTGGGCCTGGTCTCGCTCGGCACCTCCGGCCCCGACGGTGTCAACAAGAACGTCAAGGTCAGTGGGCGGGCGCCCGCTGGGTGTGTCACGGAGCAGCGTGTTCTTGGATGGACAGGTTGGGGCGGCACACTTGCTTATAGAGACGAATCTCAGCCTGGGTGTTATGCACGCTTTGAGGAAGACTTTGCGTGTTCTGGTGGCATCCTGCTACTGATCTGACCGGCACCATTGTTCTGCTTTTGCCATGGGACCATGACCTTGGTGCTCTGTCTGCAGGTCAGGACCTTTGTCCCCTCAGTCTGTGTCGACTTACCCTATGGAGGAGTTGTTGGTGTTCGTTGTGAAGGACAAATGGTCGTGAGAGATACGCATGGCCTCTGTCTCCTCAGTCCATGCCCTGCCGTCCCTTCAGGTAGAGGTGCTCGGTATCAAGGACCAGTCTGGAGAGACGCGCGTGCACTTCTGACCCCTCAGTCCGTGCCCTGCCGTCTCCGCAGGTGGAGGTGTTCGGTGTGAAGGACGATTCGTCGGGAGGGACGCGTCTGCGCGTATGTCCCCTCAGTCCGTGTCCTGCCGTCCCTTCAGGTGGAGGTGCTCGGCGTCAAGGACGAGTCGTCGGGAGAGATCCGCCTCGTCGGGTTCGAGCCGCGCATCAAGAACCGGATCCGCGCTGTGGTGGGAGCCGTGCAGGACTGGGTGCACCACGACTCGAGCTTGCTGCTGGACCACAGTATCAGCCCGCTGCCCTTCAGGAACAACTTTCGAGCGGTGACCAACGCGCCCAGCCTCAGCAAGGACACCTCCGGCAACATCATGCACTTCCTCCGGCGTACCATGCCGAGAATGTTTCAGGTGGGCTCATTCGCTCCTGGTCTCCCTGTAGCCGTACGCGATAGAGATGGGAGTGCTCTTCTCCAGCACTCTTTCATTGGCGTTTAACTGACAACGTGGCGCGATGGTTTTAAGTCATGCCCTTTGGACCAGTATGATTCTGATCAGATCGGCGTGTGCCGTTCTGCCCACATGACCTGCTCTGCGTGTTACCACAACCGACCGAAGCTACCGTCAGCAGTATCGTGCCGGGCCTGCTGCACCTCCCCGCCTGCTGTCTTCCATGGTGTGCCTGCGGCCGGTCGTCACCAGGTTATCTCCGTGAGCTGGACTGTTCCGGCGGTACACCAGCATGCACGGGAGGCATGCCGGGACGAATTATTTGTCGCGGGCTGCCTGACGTTGACTCGAATCTGCCGCCTGCAGATGTCGCTGGTGTACCTGCCGGCGGCCGTCATCTGCCAGTTTATTGCTGAGATCACGTGGCGCGAGAAGTACGGCCGCGACCCCAACAGCACCTTCGGTAACCTGATCGCGCACCTCGGACACGTGACGCAGCAGTGCGGTGAGTTGCCGACGCGCGCCCGCGCCGCTGTGTGGGTGGAGCCGGTCCGTGCCGTGGAAGGCTGACCTGTCACGTCCACGGCAGGTGGTCTGGAGCTCGCCGTGAACGAACGTGATCGCGTGGCATGATCGACTGTTGTCTGCGGCCTGTGGTGGAGCCGCAACCGGACTGTCGATGGCGTCCTGTTGCAGAGGGCTCGTTGATCGAAATGCTGAAGAAGGTGCTGGTCAGCCCCTCGATGGACTTGAAGAGGAAGCCCAGGAAACAGGTGGGCTGGGGTTCGGGCCACCTGCGAAGGCCCTCCCTTAATGAATGACGGGAGAATGGTTTGCCGTCGCCACATGACTGGACGACGCCACAGCCGCATCAGTCTTGCGTGGGCTGGACTGCGACTTACCGTGGCTTATCGTATCGCCGTCTGTGGTCTGCCCTACGCGTTTTTTCCTTGTCGAGGCTCATTGACTTGTTTGAGCCGAAGGCCAGCGCGGCCGGTGGCTGACGGATCCCAGCTGGGCCGATGAGTCTGGTCGCCGCCGGAGAGGCGGTGGCCGAGGGCCCGTGCGCCGGCTGACCGGCGACGGCTGACCGGCGGCGGCTGACGGATCCCAGCTGGGCCGACGAGTCTGGTCGCCGCCGGAGAGGCGGTGGCCGAGGGCCCGTGCGCCGGCTGACCGGCGACGGCTGACCGGCGGCGGCGTTGCAGACCCTGGCGAGCCGGCCGGACAGCCAGCCGGAGTTCCCGGGCGAGCCGGCCGGCGCGGAGTCGGCCGCGGTCGAGGCGGCCCTGTCCGCTGCTGGAGTGGCACCGGCTGCTGCTGAGGCGGCGCCGGCTGCTGAGGCGTCTGACGCTAGCGCCCGCAGCAGCCCGGCCACCGGCACCGACCAGGTCAGCCTGCGGAGATGCGGACCTGTCGGACGGGTGCTGAACGCGCCAGTATGGGGAAAACTGTCAGTTTGGCTGGTGGAAATGGCGCCAAGCAGTTTGTACTGCGGGGACAGGCTTAAAGACCATTACAATTCAGCACTTCATTGTAATGAGACATATTTTTGATTGTACGTTAGTTTCATTTTAATCATGAATCGAAGGTGCTGGTCGAATTTAAATGTATTCATCTGTTCACTGGCCATATTGTGTTACAGCAGAGATGCACAGTGCGGACTTTGCTGCAAACCAACAATGATTCTTCCCCTATAGAACTATACTCCAACTTTGAAATAGTTGCTGCTCTGCAACTAAAAAAAGGAAATTATCCGCCCTTGAACATGCTCACGAATGCCGATCGTGTGATAAGGTAAGGTCTCACTGGGGTCCACTGGGCAAGTAAGTTTTTCACTAATGCTGAGCAGTTTGGGTAGTGTTTCCAGGCGAGGGTGCCATTCGGTCCGACCAGGCCATTGGCCGCACGAGCAGCCGCCACTGCTGTCGGCTGACCTGGCCGCGTCGCTCCGCCAGGCCAGCGACGAGGCCGAGTGGGCCGGAGCGGCGGCCGAGCGGCGCGGCGGCGGCAGGCGGCGACGCTCGGCGCTGCGGCTCTTCTCGCAGCGCCGGCCCAGGCGACAGGCCGGCGCCGGCTCGCCCGACGACCGCCTGGTCGGCAGCTTCTTCAAGCTCGGCACCCTGGTGGACGTCCAGCTGCCCGACCTCACCGATATGCGCTGCTGGGAGTGCAAGCTGCCGCTGACGCACCCCAAGCACCTGACGTGAGTGGCGTGTGGTGCCGCGCCGGCCGTCTCGCGGCTCCGGGCGGTCAGTCCAGCGCAGCGGGGACAAATTCATCCAGTTGGATGTCAGTGAGGGCAATATGACTTCGTGCTATCGAGTCTCTGTCTCCTCCACCAGCTGCTGGCTTAACTGCCATTCGGCTTGGTGCTGATTGGTCAATTCTGGGCTAGGGGAGGAGTGACAGTGGACCCCAAGGCACGTGTGCAACAGCATAAACAAAAATCGGTCTCCTTGGCACCTAAATGGCTGAACTCTGCCATGCTGGGCTAGTGGTGGATGCATCTGTTGAGGGTCGAGACGTCATGTGTTGGGTGTATTGCATGCTATGTATGTTGACACTTGGCATGAATGTTTGCTGCAAGTAAGGTTGCATCTTGGCTTTGTGTGGTGCCGGACCTGCCGGTAGAATGGACGAAGGCACCAGTCCTGGCACTTGTGCGTTTTCCAGAAATGTGTTCTGAGCTTCGACAAGTTGCCAAGGATGCACCATGTTTATCGCGTGGGGCGTCGTTTTTCGCACAAACATGCAGATTGCAGATACTAGCAACGGGACGTAATCTTTTCGCGCCCAATGCATCTGGGCAATCACGCTACACCCATTTTGCAGGGATGGCTGTTGCGTGTACCTTTGGCGGTTGTTGGGACCCCACCTAACCGTGACGCGTGCGTGGGCGTGCGCTTTCCGCAGTGGCGTGTACGCGTGCAAGCGGTGCCGCTACACCACCTCCTGCGAGAAGATCTACCCGGTACACCAGCGCGTGTTCCACTCCAAGGGCGTGGCGCCCGTGTTCTCGATGAGCGGCGCGATCCTGCTGGAGCGGCCGCTCTTCTGCGTGTGCGGCTACAGCGCCGACAGCGGCAACCGGCTGGGTCAGTCTGCCGGCCGCGCTGCCGCCGCGGTGGCGGCCGCTGTGGGGGGCGACAGCGGGGACGAGCATGTCAGGGAGGGCACGTCAAGGTGGCGGTGCTCCGTGCGAGTGTGGGCAGATTCTGGGCCGAGTGCACCCTGGTGGCTGGGTCAGGCCCGGCGCAGTAACCAGGTGTGATTCGGCATGTTGCGGCAATTCCGGTCATTGTGTGGCGTTTGCTGTGTATTTTTTAATTGTAGCACTTGCGGTGTTGGCTTCGGACCATTCAGTAGTGTCGTATGCTTCAGACATTTCCTTCCAGATTACGTCGTACGTGAACCTACGGAACGAAAGTTAGGCTTCCGACGCTACTTCGCTACCTCACTGATCTCAGGGCCCTTGCCGAATGTGTTGCCTCTGCCTGTGGTCTCACTTTCTCCGCCCCAGGTCCAGAGCTGGTGCAGCTCGAGTCTTCACCCCTCAGACAGCTCACAGCCGCGTCTTGTTTTCCAGCGAGGCACATGAGCAACTGCGAGTGTCGCACAGCGTACCCGGCCTCCCAGGTCGAACCCGACGGTGCTTGCCCCGTCGGGTCGGACGAGGCTGGGATATCCGCTGACGGCTCGCTGTGGCTGGGGACCAAGGAGGAGCCTGTGGGCGATGAGATGCAGACGTAGGACGCGAAACCGGAAGCGCGTGCTTTAGCCTCTGCGCTGGATCGCGCTGTAGATGTTGCTGGAGCTGAATTGCTGCAGGGCTGACTGTTGCTCATGGCCGCTGAGACTTTGATACGGCACTGGAGCCAGCAAGACGAACCGACAAGTTACAAGATGGCGAGGCCTTGAAAATCTCTTGCAATGCTTTGCTGTTGTAGGCTGTGGCCGGACTGGCTGTCAGGTGCTGGACGGCGAGGTCGTTGGCATGTGGTGTGCTGGAATAGATCGGCCAGCTATGGAAAATTGGCACTCTTTAAAACAGTGGTTGATGTCTTCCGTGTTTAGCTTTGTGTAATAAAGAACTCGATCTCATGGTGAGTTTTAATCGCCGAGTGTATCATTGGGTGGTGATAGTTCTGGAGGAGTCACAGCTCTAGGCTGTTGCTACTCAAGTTCATGCTCGAAGGTGAAAACTTCGGCCACAGTGCGCTTTCTAAGTACGTTGAACAGTGTATGCCAAAAAGTGCGTGGAGCGTGACTAGCGATTTAAAAAAAGCTTGCATTATACCTGTGGTCCAGGGAATAATATATGACCGGACATTACATATGACAATGTTGCGAAATAGTCTCTATTGCACGGTTATCACGAAATATTGCGTATTTCAACAGTCCAATACCTAGAATGGGCATATTCAGTGTTGAGGGTGCCTTGATTATCTTCGGATATGGCTACGGAATTATTGCAGTATTTTTGGCTGTCGGATGGAGGGCACTATGTTATCCAAACCTTGCGCCTTGTCCCCCATTGTGTTTACTGCGGTGTGTTTACAAACAGGTCCCGGGGATGTACGTGAATATGGGAGGAAAGTTGCGATGGCTAGTGTTCTATTATGACTTATGAGTACAATGGGGTAGGTGGCGGGTGGGGCAGAGTAAAGATCTGGGCAAGAGGACGATTCAGGTGTGTGAAGCAGCACGGACAGACCTAGCTATGTTCCTGGATCTCCGCGATGTTGGGTGTGAGTGTTAGAACATTCATTTGCGTAGTTCAAGTTGGATGGACTGCCTTATGGTGAGCGACCCTGCTGGAACGGCCAGCGAATGTTTCAAGACAGCGAGGTGTTGAAGGTCAATGCAGCTTAGGAGTGATGGATTTGGGTCAAGACTACATGGTACAGAATCACGGCTGCCAGGCGCGCGATGTCAATCCTGACACCCATTTGCCTTCGGGAGCAATGCAATTGCAAGACGATTGTACCTCTAGCTCAAGCTCAAGTGCAAATGGCTCTTTTGTTGAAGATGTAGACGTTGTCCTGACTTCACAACAGCTGCTGCTCGCTCTTCCAAATGAAGTGCTGGAGTGCATCCTCTGTCACACCGACATCCCATCGCTGTGTGCTGTGTCCGAGACATGCTGGCGACTGCATAATGTTCAAAGTTCAGACAAAGTGTGGAATGCAGCATTCTTTAGAAGGTGGGTTTGTACCTTCATCATGTGCTTAGGATAACTTGCTCACATAGCTCTGAGCATGTAATGCATGTAGCATCCATTGAGACCTAATAAATATCCAAAAATTATGTAGCTTTGAATCTGCATGATTAGGCATGGCTACCTACCTTGTGGACCTGACCTTTGGTTACATTCTTTTGTAAATTGAGTCACTGAGTAGAAAAACATGAGTTATTCCAATTAAGGCTGTCAACTATACTGTTACCTTCCATGCCAAAGCAAGCTGTTTGCCTGGTCTGATTTTTAATGGAATGCATGCTATGCTCCCAAGGCACTTGCAGTTACCCAAAAACAGATGATCACAGCTTTCTGTTACCATTTTCAAGCTTGTGATAAGTGTGGCACCAAAATAAGTTCAATATTGTAAAAATAAGTACCCAATATTGCTGCCTCCCTCAATATTCTCACCCCTGGTGGAGGTGAGGCCTAGTAGGATCCATCATCTTACATGGGGCTCATGGTCTCTTAGCACTCGTGGAGTCCAGTAGCCAAAATGTATGTATATTGGGAAGGAAACCATCATTTGGGGGACCTTGGACCTTGGTGGTCCAAGGGGACCTTGGAGGCTGCTAAGTGCATTTGAGGGCTGAATCACACTTTACCCTTGACCAATGCACTGTGTGCCCTGTCTCTCACAGGTACCCCCGCCTGGCTGCCTCTACCCACCAGGCAGAGCTGGATCTGGCTCTGAGTCAGGTGGAGCGCAACTGGCGGCGCCTTGCGGCGTGGCGCAGCTCGCTGGGTGTGCTGGTTTGCCACATGCTGGACCAGATGGGTGACAAGTACTACAGCGTGGGTGGCCTGCCTGACCCAGCCATGCAGCAGATGTGCGAGCTGGTGGCCGAGCACGGCACACTGCTGGTCAAGGACGAGCTGCTGGAGATCCTGGACTCGGAGCTCGTCGACTCGTGAGTACTGGGTGGAGTAGCAGTTGTGACCACATTCGATCACGCGGTAAGCACATTTGCGTGATAGTGACATGTTGGCTTGTTGGCAGCTTATGCTGCGGCGCGCCGCCAGACATAGCGTGGAGCCCTGAGCATGCACCGCCCACCGCCAGGCGCGAGTACATCTCGCGGCGCTACTACGCGCGGATGCTGTACCGCGAGCTGCACCGCGACCTGGTGCTGCTGCCGCTGTTCCGCCAGTTCATGCGCCGGCCCACCCACCACATGAACATCCCCGAGGCGCTGCACCTCATCGACCTGTGGGTGGCGCCGGAGAAACGGCGCCGCGACGACTCGGAGCTCAAATGGTACGGCCGCCGCCTGACGCGCTGCGGCGAGTTTACGCGTCAGTGCGGGGTGCGGTCGTCCACGGCCGGGTCGTCCA